AGCCCTACAGTTTGTTTGTAAAGGCAAATATCTCTTTCCATTCATCAATCAGTGGAATCCATCCCATTGTTTCTTTTATCTCTCAGTGCTAGCCTTTTCTATAGGCTGATCCACAACTCATTTGTAAAGACAAATTCAACATTCCTCTCAGTGTCAATGATAACTGGAACTATACATTAAGGTCTTCAGTCTCCACACAGTACATATTGCTTTCCATCAAATTTTTAGTAAGGCAAAATCTGTACAAGTGCCAGAAATGCTTCTGTAAATGCTGCTTTTGTGTGGTCCTCCACAGCCCACCGCACCTCCCAACAGTCTGAGTTGAGCAGGAACTGGGACCACAGGGAGTTCTTCTGACAGCCACCACACATCCAGGCTACAGCAGGGCCAGCAGAAGTGTTGGTCACAAAATCAGATTTGTTACCCAGTATGTAATAAGCCAATAATTACACACTTGAGGGAGACCTGGACTATTTATTTAGATATTTGTTGCACAAGCCTGGGGGCTCGGTGGTACTCCATGAATCAAGCATGCCAACTATTAAAACTCTTTAGTATTTATACATTTTAGCCAACACATTATAGGCTTCAAGTTACATAGTTCTTTTATTAATTATTATTCTATCTTCTGTTGGTTAATTATTCTCTTACTTCTCATGCTAATTAGTCCACATGCCCAGTCCTATTGAGCTAGTGGGCAGCTTGGTCAGTGGTCTGCCGGAACTGGAGCTGATTCAGCACAGATACGGAGTTGCCTTTATTAATTTCTTCCCTGTCTCGGGAGTTCTGCCAAATGTTCTTATAGCCCGTAAATTCTGAATTGTTTGTCTGACATCACTGAAACACGTCGTGCCCTAGATAACAAGGAAATTCCACCGACGGGAGATTTATCTTTCTAACCCCTGGACATCACTTTGCTTGGTAGCGTCTATCTGTTTCAAGGATTAAAATATCCTTTTCTGCTGATTAGGCTTGAAAATCAAGATCAGACATCAAGGAATATCCTTCCTTAGGAAAACTTTCATCGTGTTGACCGTTTTGCCGAAGAACCCTCTCAGCGGCCGAAGCCGCCGTCGGGAGCCATCGCCCGGGCGCAGCAGGGACCACCCCGTCTGCCCTGAGTGGCAGGTTCTCAGCCAATAGCAGAGTGTCTAGGGCTCGGGATCTTTTACACCCGCAGCCAATCAGACATCGGTAATTGGTGGGGGTGTGGCTTGAGCTGTGTCGCCAAGGGCAGAAGCGCGGCGTCGCCGAGGCTCGGACGCGCCGGGGACGTGCGGAGGGTAGGGTGGCCGTTTGCCGGAGCCGGCTGCCCGGCAGCGGCACGATGAGCCTGGCCCTCAGGTCGGTACGAGCAGGGCCCTTTCCCGCTTGCCCCGCGTGAGGTCCAGGGCGTGGGCGGGGGTCCCTCAGGGCCGCGCCGCCACCGTTTGGGAGGTGTTGGCTGGGCGAGTCAGGCCGTAGTGGGACGTGGGTCATCCTCGGCCTCGCCGGTCACTTCTGATCCCTTTGTCGCGGCCAGGGGCGGATCAGGCCCGTATGTCTGCAAGGAGAGGGAAGGGTCCGGCGCATCTGGCCTTGCGAGCTTCTGGGTTGCCTGATGCGCTTTCAAAAGGCCTATGAAGAAGCATAAAGTTAAACTGCTCGGCTTTGTTTTGTTTCTAAATTCTGATTTAGTAGCTATTGCATAAAGAAGCCTGCCTTATGAGTCGCAGTATCTGGCAAGTACTTGTCTTCAAGTGTAATTAATACACTTACATGGCAACTGTGTTCCTTAATTTTCAAGTCTAAGAACTTCATGCATATGGTTGAAGTAGTTGCAGAAGTGGCATTGAACTGCTTATGTTTGTGTACTACTTTGTCTTTTGATAAATTAATTTTATACTAAGTACTAAATGAACACTTAAGTACCCAGATTGCTTTTTCAGAAGAGTTCGGTGTTAATCTGCTTTCAAGTTTATAAATGGATTTCTTCATCATAGCTCACAAAATCTGGGTTCCCTGGTCCTGAACTAGTCTCCGAGTCCTAATTAAGTAGCCAGCTCAAAGTTATTTTAGTCCTTCCAAGAGCTGTAGTAATCCAAAGCCTGTGGATTTGTCTGAGTTGGCCTGTTAAGGACATCTTAGTCTTTGAGAGTATTGTGGTTTGAAGCAGGCTCAGCTTCTGCAGCTTGCACTTTTTTTGTCTCTATTTGGGATTTTTGCTTCAGTGGTTGCTGAAAGCTAAGTCTAGGTAAGTGTTTAATCTTGGGTTTTGATTAAAATTAGCAAATTTTTAACAAAGAAGGGCATAAAGCAGCTTATTTGAGGGGATTTGAAAAGTTAATCTTGCAAAGTTTTCACTGATCGGTAATCTTTATGCATTATACACTAGGTGATACAGCACACATTCTTCCTCTGGCAAAAGGACAAATGAGCATAAAAAGCCTTTTTCTAAGAGTATAACATAAACTATGCAGGAAGGATTTACAGGAGCCATCTAGTCCAGCTTCCTGATCACAGCAACTTCTACATAAAGCTGGCTAAGGATGCTAAGCACCTTTTATAGTCAGGTTCAGAAAATTTCTAATGATGAAGACTCCTTCCCAGTGGAGCTGTTCTAGCACATCACCACATGCATTGGGAAGATGTTTTCCCTTAGATCTAGCTGCAGTTTCTCCTCCAGCTGCAGTTTTTTCCTTAAATTTTGTAGTTACTGTATCTTGTCCTTTTACTATCCTCCTCTGAATATATAAACTTATTCCTAGACTAGCCAAAGAAAATCTTGCTCAAATCTTTGAGTAAGATTTGCTGATTTGGGGGGCTTGTCTTTTGTCTTTTTTGTCTTTTGTATATATCAAAACAAAGCAAAAAGATCTTAAAATATTGTGTATGTGTGGAATCTAAAGGTTTAAAAAAAAAACCCTGCAAGTACCATTTATCTAAGAACTGTTACGGGCAACAAAGCTGATTTGTAGCACCTAAAGCCAGCTTTAGTAGCCAGACTGTGCCCTAGTTTGTCCTCCACTGGACTGTCTGTCCCCATATTTATTTTATTTTTTAAGCTACATTGTAGAAACCAACTGTTTTCACAACTTCTATAATTTCAGCTGCTAATCTAGTTTGTAACCTCAAGAAGCCTTCTTAACTGGTAATTTTTCTACCTGCTTTTTTGTTATTGCTCCTTATTAACAAAAATGCCTGTGCTGATTTTATTTTGGAGACTGGAGGCATCATTTAGATTTCACACGGAATTATCTATTTCAAATGTTATTTTAAACTGGGAATACAGGCTAAGAAAATATTGACTAGGTAAGGTAGTGATTTCTAAAATTATCATGAGTTTCTTATTAGTGGAAAAGTTATCTACAGTAGCATCTTCCCAGTAGAAATCTGTTACACTATATTTCTTTCTTTTTATATAGGAATGAGCTCTCAGTAGATAAAACTAAAAAGAAGAAAAGACGAGAACTGACTGAGGAACAGAAGCAAGAAATTAAAGATGCCTTTGAATTGTTTGATTCAGACAAGGATAGAGCGATAAACTATCATGAATTAAAGGTAGAAGTTTTCTTCCATTTTAGCAATTTTATAGCAGATAATATATCTGTTCCATCGTGAGTTCTTAATATACTGGCTGTATCTTTAAAAACTTGCTTCAAGATGTCTTGCTGAGTTAAAGGAGCAAGAGGAAAAAAAAAAGAAAAAATCAGGAAATTCTCCATTGGTGTAAGAATAAGCTTTTCTTCCCACTTTATATAATTAATGCAGTAACAGAATTGCTGTAGCAATTCAGGGATAAGCTTGGACAGATGACCAAATGGGAAAAACTCTTGAAAAACTGTTTTATTATTTTTAAAGACACTGTATAACCTAAACCTTGGTGTTGGTTTCGGATGTGTAGGTAAAAGATATAAATCAGATTTGTAAAACTGTTGACAACAAGCCAGAGCTTTCCTGTATTTTTTAAAGGAAACCCTATGATATGTAGAAATAAGGTGTGCTTTTTGCTCTGTGTATGGGAGGCTCAGTAGTTGCCCTTCCCAAAGAAGGACGTTCCTTATGATAGCTATTAGCAGATGGAGTTTAGGATGTCTTTCTGAATAAGGCCTCCCACCTGAAAGTCTACAGAGTAGTAAATGAGGTTCACTAAAGTCGCCTTAAATCTTTCATGCATTTTATTCTACATATGGCATTGAGAACGAAAAGTAGCTTTAGAGAAGCCAGTGTTTCAGTCACATACAGGGTGAGATATTTTTTTGAAAGAATGCCTAATCGAGTGTATTGGCTCTACACTCTGGCTCTACCAAGTAACACGAAGAAAGAAAAAAGTCTTATTTTAACTTAATTTGCTGTTACGGGAATGTGTTAAGTAGAACAATTCCCTTCTCTCTATTTCAGAGTTCACATATTTTGTCTTTGCTGGAAGCTGCTGTGACTAGGGTTGTGCTGGCAACTCTATTGGTTATGGTTATACTTTTTCTGGTTATTTAATGCTTTGAATTCCCAGCTGTCATGATTACTTGAAAAGCTCTTTTTTAGCTGTCTAATTAAATATTGTCACACTGAAGCTAATACTGTGAAAGAGCAGAAATACATTAAAAAACTATTTATTTCCTTGTCTACAAAATCAACATATGTATACATATAGCATAAATTTTTTAATAACTACTTCTGTGGTTTTCCATGTGTGCTTAGCCTATATTCATCAGTTCGGAGGAAGTCAGAGTAGCATGTGCTTAGAAATTGCCACCTAAGGTGAAATGAGAAATTAAATGGACTTCTACACTAATGGAAAAATAAAACATACGTTGGCTTCTGTGGCTGACTGGAAAAGCAGTTAAAAGTCTTGTAGGACTTGTAAATCCATGGACATACACAATTGTCTGAAAAATGAAGAATAATTTGCAGAATGATTTTCAGTTTTGTCTTAAAAAGATGAGATTTTGAAATGGTTTTGAAAATGAGGAATAAATGTACTTGTCCTAAGATGCATTTGGTCCAGTCTGTAAAATCCCTGAAAATGCAAAGGTTTTTTTTTTTTCTCACTGTACCTAGATATCTCATTTCCTAATAGTAGTTCTAAATGGTTTTAATATCTCAAGCTCTTTTCCTTTTATCTATTTTATTTATTATTGTTACTTTCTCTCTTGGTCAAGAAATTAAAAGGAAGATCTGATAAATCTTTATTTTGATCCTTTATCTATGGTTGCACTTCCTTTTTATTCCAAAAGGTGGCAATGAGAGCCTTGGGTTTTGATGTGAAAAAAGCTGATGTCCTGAAAATTCTTAAAGATTATGATCGGGAATCAACAGGCAAGATCACCTTTGAAGATTTTAATGAAGTTGGTATGTGTTTGATTGTGCTTCTACCTCTAGAGATACTTAGCCTATAATAGTGAGTAACAATTTCAAAGCTGCATTTTGTAGGCTTCTTCAATTATTTATTAAGAAATAGAAGTGGGACATTTAATTTCATATTTTGCTTAATATAGCTCAATAGTGAAGAAAGATAAATATTTGTTTTCTGAATTCTTAATTTGATATGTAAGAGAGAATGATAGCGACAGTATAAAAATAATAGGGTATACACAATCTCTTTCAAGCTTACACAGAGGAATAAATGCTAATTTAAAATGTAGATGTCCTTATCTTGTTCATGGTTCTCTGTAAGATTCTTCCAGCTGTGGAAAAGGTATTTGGCATAGAATTTCATTGGAAGGCGTGCATACACAGACAAGCAGATTACACATGTCATATATACAAAAAATGAGAGAAAGACAGTAGATTTTAAATATTGTACTACAAGAATTTTCAACTGTTGATGAAGCCAGTAGAATTAGTTGTGCCTTTCATCTGTAATGTGTGTATTGTGGAATTTTATGTACTTTGAGTATGCAGTGATCTTCAGAATGTTTAGACCTGATGTTTCTTTGAAGGTTCTGGGGGATTCTTGTTATACATAATTTATGCTTTTGCAAACAATATATGTTTATCAAAAAGTAATCTGTGTGCATTTAAATTTCTAGCTTTTTATGTCTATTATGTATAGTTCATTATGCTCATGATAGTCCATTTCTTCAAAGTGTTATATTTCTGTAACAAAACAAAACGCCCAAACCCCCGGTACTTTCTCTTGGTTACAAATAGCAATCATCTTAATATATCTAAAGAATTGAAATATGGCAACATTTAATTGTTTAACAGATTAGTACTGGACAAAATGTCTTGTTAATGACAGGTAATATTTTTGTAGGTATATTCCAGGTTAGAGAACAATATTTTCGGTTCTTTTCTGATTTATAAAGCCTATGTGGAAATATTAGAAAGAAAATTAGTGTATTGATTTGATAGTAGTACTAGTCTTAAAATTACATCATTATGCTGTAATATTATATAAAATGAATATACTGTAGTTACTATACAATTACTTTTTTTAACTCCTGATGTCCAGTCCTATTCATTGTTTCCTTGTTTTGTCCTGGCTATCAATATCGATGGTCATTAAGTGCTGCAAGAAGCCAGGAAAATTCTTGTAGAAAGCACAATATGTACTTGGGAGGGGATTAAACCTGTTGGAAAACTTGAGCTGAGGTAGTGTGCTGCTGTGGTGCCAAATGACCTTGACACAGAATTAAATATGATATCTCTTCTAACAGAAAGATTGAGGAGTTAGATAAAATAGGTTATTGAGATATTAACTGTGAAGAGATGATGAATATAGCTAAGTGATTCTTGAGCCATCAATTTCTCTTTAGTGTTCAGCTGAAATATATAAACATGCAATTATATTTTGTCTGCTATAGTTTTGTATTTAGAGACATTTTATTATTTTTCAGTTGTCTTCTTGCCACAAAAGGTTGCGTTTTTCAAGTTATGTAATACTGTCATGCAGCACTGTTGTTTTAATAGAAAATATTTAAATTTAGGGTAAATATGCAGGTATATAAACTTGATTGCTGTAGTTGACTTACAATGAGCATGAAAAATTCTTTCAAGTTTGCTAAGCCAGAGCGGACATTCCATCTACACTTAGTAGTAAATGGTAAGTGGTTCTTTATGTGCGAGCAGTGTTGATGTGATTTTAATGGCTTGATAATACAAGACTAGCAGGTACAAAGATGTGGAGATACATTATTGTTGGTTGGTCTGGAGAAATTACTAGAAAAAAATATTTCATGAGGCAAGTTTGTATTTTCTGTTGCGGAAACTGACAAATGTTTGTCTTGAAAAGAATAGTAAAGGCTGAAGAATCCTTTCAGGATAAACGTCTTGTAATTCATAGCAGCATCCTTTTTATAACTCCTATGCTTAGTCTTTTCTTGTTTTTAGGTTTAGCGGGGTAGGATGTGGTTGGTTAATTGGTTATGGGGTCTTTTAGTGGTAGTGTGGCTTTATATATAAAAGAGAGGTTCCATGTGGATTTTTTTTTCCACTTACAGTTTCAGTGTTCTCCGCACTGAAAACATACAAAGTAAAAAAAAATTCACACCTTCATTTAAAAGAGCTGATGGTGTATTCTTCTGAAAATTTGGAATTTTGAAAGAGAGGCATCCTGTGCATACTTTTAATTCCTGTTAGAAAATGTGTGGAAAGTGTGACTGTGTCTGAACTGCCATGCAGCTTTCTACTGCAACAGTTATTTTCTAAAGAAGGCAACTCAGCTTGGGAAAACAGAGGTGAGAAAGAGAGATCAGACAACAGCCAAACAAATCTGCACGTTAAATTCTGTAGAAATGTAAGAACAGGTGAAATCACACATGTGTTCTTCATATTGTCTTAGTTTGCAGAGGTCATTCTGAGTTTACTGTCCAGAATTTTCTAGTCTAACTTAAGTATCCTTCTTGCAGTAACAGACTGGATATTGGACAGAGACCCACAAGAAGAAATACTCAAGGCATTCAAATTGTTTGACGATGATGATTCTGGCAAAATAAGTCTGAGAAACCTCCGCCGGGTTGCTAGAGAATTAGGTGAAAATATGTCTGATGAAGAACTACGGGCTATGATTGAAGAATTTGATAAGGATGGAGATGGAGAAAGTATGTGTTGACAAATAAAACACCATATAATCTTGTTCTTAATTTTGTTCCCTTTTTAGGTGTTATTTTGTTGTCAAAATGTCCTCTTTAATTTCCTTCTAGCTTATTTTCATTTCAAACATAATTTAGCTTACAATATAATAATAATGCAGATGATTACTTTTGACAGCTACTAGTTCTGGAGTCTAAGAATTGAGCTGATTCACCACCAACTCTTATTCAACCCATGTCTATTAAAAGATGAGTGAAAGTATAGTTGAAGGTAGAAGTAAGAGATTCTGTGTATCTACATTACATTTATATTTCCTTTTAAATCAGTGAAAGTATTAAAGTACTTCTGCTTTCATGGTGCTTAACTTTTGAACACATCCTGCATCTGAAGAGGTTTAACTGGGATTACTTGGGTTACTGGGAATTGTAACTACACTGCTTTTTGAAGTTTCTTTGAATGTTCCAAAATTTGTTTGTCGTTATAGTGTTGTGTTTCCACTTTGCAGCAGGGTTTCAGGTATGTTGTAAACCAGAGAATATTTTTGAGATGATATTTTAATTTGTGTTCTTATTATATTGTTACTGTTATAAAGCTGTGGAAGTGCTCTTAAAGTCATACAGTGACAGTATTTTTGTGTCTTAGAACTAGATGTAAATATGTGATGGACTGCTGTTTCAGAGCATAGGGCCTTAAGCTGGACTAAAGCTACTTGTTTCCTGGGTTTTACATGCATCACAGCAGGACATATTTTGATTTTTTGATTTTTTTTTTTTTTTTATTCTTTAACATAGCTGAATTTCTTTCATTTTCTTCTAGCTGTGAATGTAGTTCTTGCTTTGCAGAGCTTCATTTAGGAATAGCTTGGGTATGTTGGCTGGGGTGGATAATTGTCAGGGCTTGTATGTGTCTTGTGTTTTCCATACCACTGACTTAGTCTAATCATTCCCCACTACAGTTATTAGTTGCATAAGTGAACCTGTTCACTGGTTAACTCTAGCCACTCTTCTACGGTGGCTATGCTTTAACATATGAGTAAATATGAGTCAGTACCTCAGGTATAACTGCAGCAAAATAATTAATGTGTTACTATGACTTAATTTCTTCAAGTGCATTTGTGTAAAATTTCTGTTAATTATTAATGAAGAATAATGAAAGTTCAGATGGGGAAAGGCTCATCAAATGTCCATTTTTATTAATTTATTAATAAAATTAATTTATTAATTATTTAATATAAATATAATAATATAATGTAAATATAATAATATAAATATAATAATAATATAATATAAAATTATTTATTAATTGCTATATGATCTTACAGTTTGTTTTGTATTTGGCATGTGTTACAGACTGGGAATGCTATTGGACGAGCATTGTTTGATCTGTGATGGTAGATTGGACATAAATGTTTTGAATTATGATTTTAAGAATAAAACTGAATTCAGTCATAATTAGATGAGGTATTGTTGCTTGAGAAGTACTTAATAAAATTTAGATACCATTCCTACAGGCCTTTATACCATATTTATAGACCTTTAAAATAATACAATTTTGCATAACCATCTTACGTATGTTTCTCAGGGGTTTTTTTTCTATCATGTTTCACTTTTAGAATATTTTTACTTCCATAATTCGAAATAAGTGATTATAAGTGAGCTAGATTCTGACTTTAGTATTCCACATAATAAAGCTTGCATTCTGACTTCATGTTACATAAAAAAAAAGCTGTGCAAAACTGTTCTAGAAGCAAACTTGTAAACACTTACAGTAATGAATGAGATGCAACAAATTCTAACAGAGAAGCCTTTAATTAAAGTACAGATATGCATTATTTTATTTTATGGTTTGTTGTTTGCTGTTTGTCTAATGATTTTCTTCTTTTTCCCTTTTTTTTTCTTTTTTCTACAGTCAATCAGGAAGAATTTATTGCTATTATGACTGGAGATATTTAGCATTAGAAGAAAAGAAATTAACTCACTACAAAAGGGAGGAGTTGTTGGCAGCTTCCATTACAATGTTTTGTACTTTCATTTATTTCAGTAGCTGGAGTGGTGCAGAAAGTTATTTGTGACAGGACCAAAATAAAAATGGGTTACATGCACTGATAATTCAGTACTTTGCATCATTAAGTATAATCATTAGAATAGTTGATGTAATATTTTAGAACAAGTAAGTAATGCTGCATTTCAGAATGATTGAGTAACTTTGTAAAATAGCTTTGTCTCAGATTCCTAAATGGTATCATAAGAACCTTTTGCAGTTCTTGACTTTGTGTTAGCATTAGTTGTGGCCTTAGTTTTGAGACATAAGGTTTGAAAAAATTCCATTTTAATAAAATGTTCTTTCCTACTACTTGAAAGTGTTGTTATCGTAGTTCAGTCTGAGCTGAACTAGAAGGGACTAAGATTCAGAGAATTTTTTTTCTTTTTTCTTTTATAAGCTTTTACTATTAGATGAACTGCAACATTAAATGAGCAAGCATATGCATCTTTAAAGATGCAATTTAACTCTGTTACCCAGGTATGATAAAAAATTACACACAACTATGCATGATAATAAAAACTGATTTCAAAACATGCTTAAATCACTCATATGTAAGCCAGCAATTCTGTCTCCAGTATCCACAGTTCTGATAGTTGTGGAGACAATGACCGTGGCAAACTTCCTGCAAGCCAAGTAGTATGCTTTGGAACCGAACAGCAAAAACACTCCTCATGAAATATAAAACATATTTTAAAAATCCATTAAAAAACGGGCAACAAACCCCCACAACTCCTAACCGGTATTTTGCAATCTTAGAAGATTTGTTTGGGAGGTGAATGTTTAGGGGAAAAGGTTGAATGTGTGGGACTGAGCCCATGGATGGCTCTTAACAAGTATTTTCTAGGATCAGTACTAGAATTGTCCAGTTCAGTAGCTCTTGACTTTGTTTTTAATTTTTTCTGTAAACTATTTCAGGGACACCTTTAGTTTCTGCAGACAATCAAAGGGATAAAGAACTGGAGATATCTGTTAGTAGTCTTCAAGAAACTTTTTCCTCAAAAATCCTACCTTTGAATGTGCCAAGTGTTCTAACATGCTGCAGTGGCCTTTATGGGGATGGTACCATCTCTAGATGGCTGGTACTTACTTTTTGACAGCTGAAAAAAAACCACACTTACTATGTGTAACTCTTCCAGTAAGATGTATTTTCAGAAGCTTTTGCAATATGCTTGGTATAGTTTACTTTGTTCTTGCGGACATGGCAGCATTTTTTAGGGGCCAGGTAACAGTAATATAAGGCTCCATAAACACAGTCCAGTGACCTGGTGAGAGGTCTTGTAAGTTGCTCAGACTGTGGGAGTAACACAGAAGAAGGGAAAAAGAAACAATCGGAATAATGATACTGTCTCAGTGTTTGGTTTTACTTTTTTCCTTAATTTCATTGTTCTGGAGACTTTTGCATTTTAAAACTGTTTGTTCTGTGCTGCTGACTGATGATCTCACAGTTTCGTGTACTGGGGTTGTTGCAATTCCTGTTGACTTTTCTTGATATTCACCACCTGACAATAATTGTGACAGATGAGAGACTAGAGCTTGGTAAGATCTAATCTCTGAACTCAGAACTGTCAGCTCGGCCCCAGCATTGATCCGACATTTGATTCTGTGTGTTTTGTGGGCTCACACGTATCCTGGTACTTTCTTTGTAGTTCTCTTGGTATATCATAGGATACAGATTCCCAGTTTTTTCTTTTTATACTTTGCATTATATAATAGAGGAAGAGAGTTACTTGGTGACATGTTTTATCATCTCTCTTGTAAAATAGTGCCAAGGTTCAGCAGTCATCACTACATGTGTAATAGGTGTACTGTTGAACATGTTCCTTATTTCCAGACTTTCAAAAGTGCATTTGTATTAAATGAATGAGGCCTGGCTTGGAGTACCTGGGAAAATGTTCCTCTGTTACCTTTGCTATGGAGGACAGTGATGTCTGGCGGAAGTCTAAATATGGTAGCTTAGGAAATGTAATCCATTGCACTGAGATCACTGGAACCTCTTTTTAAGAGCTTATTGTCTGTAACTGTGCCAAATATCAATAATCCTAATAATTAATCCCTTATTAATCCCATGCCATTTTTAGGAAATGGAGAACTTCCAAATGAATAAAAATACCATGTGGGAATGTAATGTACACCAAATACTACTCTATAGCTAATTTTAGAGCTGTCTTTTACATACTAGGTTTGTAACATCAAACCTATTTGTTTTGTGTTTTCATGGGAAAGTTTCCATGGCACAGTTAAGTCATAAACAGTCAGATAATGTTAAAGTTACATCATGTGCTGCATCATGTGGAGGCTCTGCTTGAGTTGAGAAACATCTTGAGTGTTTTGCTCGTGTGCTTGACTTTACCATGTACAGCAGAGCATGGAAACCATGACAGCTTGTCTGGCAACAGAGCAGAGGCCAAAGGGACAGTTTGTGACAGGAGGGGTGAGCACAGAGCCACTGGGAAGGGTCACAGCTGAACTCTTATTCTAAGTCACAGGCCTGCATGAGAGGAATGGCAGCCTAAAGAGGAGGGCATCAGGGTACATGTTGATCTCTTTGTCTCTGGTCTCTCAAGTTTGTGGTAGAGCTCATGGATACAATTTTTTCTGCACTGAGGCTGCAGCTCAGGAAGATGTATCTATTGTGACTAGTGGTGTTGGAGACTGTGTGGCGGTGAAGCCATCAAACAGAGTGTAGAGAAATCCTGCAATTGTTAAATCCTGACCTAAGAAAGTTTTGCAGCCTATGTGCAGTTCTGGGATATTGCAAAGTAAACTTTGTTAGCAGAAGTTTTTATCACAAATTACACAAGAACAGAGGATAAGGACAATTGCACCAAATCCATTTGCCCCATTGATTGCTTGTAGTTGCTCATAACCCCTCACACAGTTGTAGGTTTTTTTGTTGACTCACATGTGGTGAACGTGCTGCTCTGTTGAGACAAATTTCAGGAGAAGATGCCCTGGTATGAGCATTTCCTCTAAAGAGAAAGGGCTTCAGTAATTCCGTTTTCTTCTGCCAATGAGAGAAATTAGTACCAGGAGGCAAAAGTGAATAAAATCCTCTTTATGAATAAAAAAACCCAATCAAACTGAACAAAACAAAAAAAAACCAACAAGGGTGCCTGCATGGCATAGAAAGAAGAGAAATTGAATAAATGCTAGGTATTGAGATTGTGAACCTTGCCCCCTCCTAGAGACCCTGCAGCCTTCTCATGGCCATGGGCACTTTCCCCTTGGTGCAGTTCCAGGCACAGCCAGCAGGGGCACTGCTGGCTCCCGGTGGGCAGGGAGGGTGCGGTGACTCTCCCACGGCTGCAGGGGCGCTGTGGCACAGGCTCAATCTCTCTCTGGTGGTAATGGTGGACGCCACTAGTGGAAGAGATGGAGAAGGCGCTTCCTTTAGTAATGCACAGGCACAGCCAACCATGGTGCCCCTCTGGATAGCAAAAGAAGCTGTAGCAGGAATCTCAGGAGAAGCAAGAAAAGCAAGCTGGAACAGTAGACCAGCAAGCTCAGTCACACTGTGTAAGGAAAAAAAAAAAAAAAAGAGGCAAAACCTCCAGAAACAGCAGGATCTCTGGTCAGAGATACCAGCCACATGGTTAGTCTCCAGCAGCCTGCACTGTAAAGGGAAGAGAAAAACTGCCCCTCACCCCAAAAACCACAGCCCAGCTCCCCTTCATCACGACAGCCCTGGCGCCAGGGAGGATGGGGGTGTGGTGGGCATTTCCCCCCTTTAGAGGCCTGACAAGGCCTTTACCTTGTCAAGTCTCTGTTCTAAATACTACTGACAATATGTATTTAATGACAGTTAAGTATCTATAGTGAGTAACTAACAGATCATTATCTAATAGTAAATAAATTTCTAACAATGGATAAGTATCTAATAACAGTACATATCTAACAGTAAATATCTAATGAGAAGATTGTGGGTTCAAGTAACGTCTGGGGTGCCAGAACTGATGCCTGGAAAGGATGACCTGGAACAAAGACTAGACAGAGCAAAAGAAATAAAATAGGTATTTATTGAAAACATACACCTTGGGCAGTGCAAGAGACCGGCCAGGGCTACACCCAAGTTGAATCCAAGATGGATCCCAGTCATGAGTCACTTTTCTAAGTTTTGGTTCAGCTACGTATTGGGGTCAATTATTGAACCACAGCCCCAAGCTATGAAGTATCAGCCCCCTGGCTTGTCCCCTTCCCTTCCACGTCTCTTTATGCTTTTTGGGTAATGGTTGTCCTTGATTCTCTAGCTGGAAAGGGATTATTTTGGTAACAGCACAGCAGCCGCTCCTGGGCACAAAACTAAACAGATCAACTAAACAGATTATCCACAAAAATGAGATGGGATAATAAATATAAGCAGGCCTTTTTTTTTTTTTTTTTTTTTTTTTTTTTTTTTTTTTTGTTGAGCTGGGTCCTTCTGTTAAGCAGTAAATGGCTGTGACTGCCACCTGCCTTGGTGCACAAGGAACCTGATTGAAGCAAGACCTGCATTTTCTTTGACCTTTCCATTAAGTCAATAGGTTGTAGAAGATACCAACTGGCACTAGAAAACTTTTGTATAACTCATTTTCTGTAGTTACCACAGATGTAAGTCTGTTGGGATGCTTAGAATATTCCCATTTTAAAGTAAAGAAAGAAATAATATTATGCTGAGGAAAAAAGAGGTCAGTGTTTTTGGTGCTTTCTTAAGGTGCACCAAGGGAAATATCTCGACAAATCCCTTCAGACTGTTACTAAGATGTTACACATATTCACAGAAAATCAGCAGAAGCATCATGTGCTTCTAGAGAATATGCAAGTATCTTACTTTTATGATTGCACAAATGGTACATCTACTGTAAAACTGTTGCTAAGCAAAGTGAACACATTGGCAATTATCAGTAGTCAGAAGTGATAGCTCTCAGAATACATATATGGGAAATTTTCATATGTAGGTCTTTTTGAAATGACATATGAACGTATTGGTGGTGGAGGCTGTATTTTCTACTTTTTAGCCTTTACTATTTTTAAAACCACTTATAAAAGAGTACTTAAATTAATCTCAAGGGAAGAAATAAATGTAAAGGAATAATTCCTTTAAAATATTCCTCTTAAAGTGATAAAGAATGAGCCCAGCAGGAAGGGGCTACTTTTCTAAATAAGATTATTTAAGTGATCTTGAAGTCTGATCAATGATAAAGCCTACTTTAGTGGTATGAAAAGAATTTGGACAATTTGAGTTAGCAAAAGCTTGCAGTAATTTATATTAAGTTCTGTAGCCTCTTTCTTCTTTCCCAGGTGTTGGCAGGCACTCTTCCCACTCCTCTGCT